TATATATATATATATATATATATATATATATATATATAATATAATGTAATTATTTTCTTAATTATTTAAAAAAATTGTACACTTTTATATATGTTTGAATTTACTCACAACTTCTGAATCATTAAGTAATTTAAAATAGAATCAAAATAAAGATGTCTTTAACAGTCATACAACGGAGAACTAATGAATAATTTACAATTTTTTCATTTACTACAAGTTCAAAAATATGCAACAGAATCTCCCGCCCTTTTAAGTATGCCAGTGCATCATCTATAGTTTGATGATAAGAAAGTATCCTTTCCTATATCAATAACGCAAAATAGTAATATAATAGTATGTACAAGAATTGTATATTCATAAATATTATAAAATGAAAAGTCTACATATTGATTGATATTTGTAATTAGATATTTCGAAACATAAAAAGTAATCTCGAAGTAATTGTGTAAAGAATTAAAGTTGTCTGTTGTCAAGTTTACAAGTTCGTTCATTTGGTGGAAAATTTCTTCTTATTTATAATTCGTAAAACGGATAAAAAGGTAATAAATTTATACGTTAATAATTTATATGATTAACTAAGTGAATATAAAAAATAATGTTATAAAAATAATAAAGCTGCATGTAATCGTATTTTCATTTATTGTATCTTGGAAATAAAACACGATTAACTAATTATGTTTCTAAACATTTTATGAAATTCATATATATATATATATATACATATATTATATTATACAAATATACAAATATTTGCGTGTATAATATAATATGACGAAAATTGTAATTACTAAAATTCGTACATAACCTTTCAATTATTTTTGTTTTATCTACATATTTGTCGAAACAGTTTATTCCTTTAATGCTACTATATTTATTAAAATAATTTTTAAATAAATTATTCCAGATAAAAAATGGTAGTGCTTAGCAATTTTCTTGCACCACAAGAAGGAATACGTCATGAAGAACCAAATACTACTGTGTACATTAATGATAGAGAAGTAGGAAAAGGAATTCTGTATATCACAGAAAGGTAAACATTAAAATGGAGCAATCTTATATTTAATATTATCTTTATGTTTTAATATAATGTTCATATTGGTAGTTTACTTTCTTGGGTGAATTATGATACACAACAGGGATTTTCTCTTGAATATCCTCACATATCTTTACATGCCATTTCAAGAGATGAACAAGTACATCCAAGGCAATGTTTATATATCATGGTTGATGCAAAAGTAGATCTTCCAGGTATATTAAGTTCTTCTTAAACATTTTTGAGAAAGTTGTTTTTCAGTGAAGAGTAAAAGTTAAATGAAATTTAATAATATGTATCTGATTCCACGCAATTTCTGGTAAATATATTAATATTGTTTATTTATATACTTTTTTAATATATTTCATATAGATGTACCATTGTCAGCAGCTTCAGATAGTGGATCAGATAATGAATTTGAAGATGTGGATACACCAATCACAGAAATGCGATTTGCCCCCGATAACACAAATAATTTGGAAACAATGTTTCAAGCAATGAACCAATGCCAGGCTCTTCATCCTGATCCACAAGATAGTTTTTCTGATGGTAGATAATATTATTTTAATGATTTTTTAAAATTAAAAAATAGATATAAGAATTTACATACTTTTGTAGCCGAAGAAGATATTTATGAAGATGCAGAAGAAGATGATTATCAATATTACGATGTTGGTGCTGGTACAGGTGCCAGTACTGGTGCCGGTGCTGGTGCTGGTGATGCTCCTTATATCTTACCAGGTAATAGTCTTAGATTTAATATAAAAAAGCTTTTATTTAAAAAATCAGTATCCTATAAAACTAAATTTCTTTATTGGTATTTCATTCCTTTAAAACAAATAGAGACAAATCAGAATGGTACAGAAGGAGATGATGCTATGGATATAGAGGCAGGTCAATTTGAAGATGCAGAGGAAGATCTATAAAGTATGAAAATAATAAAATGCAGACATGCATTTAGTATTAATTTATAAGTACCAGTATCATATACCAAGGTAGATAAGTGATATGGCAGACTGTATAAGAGAGCAGTATCAAACATAAAACAGCTAACATTTATTTATATTCATTTTGTACATGGTAATAATTTTTTAGATAAAAATAAATAATTATATATCAAATTCAGCTTCTTATTTGTATGCATATTTGTATTTGTTCATTTAGAAAATTATTAATTTTTTACATTTATTTATACAATGAAACTTAATATAATAAAACTTTTTTAAGATATCCGAAATATATCCTAATATGTACTTATAAAAATGTCTCCACTTTGAAATATAAGACAATTTCATGATTAGTTTTAAATGTATTGTATCTTTTTTATTGTTAATAAATATTTACTGAAATTATTAACAAAAAATATTAAAGTATAATTTATTAATACTTATTACATCATGTCAATATGTAATTTTGCAATCAAAATTTACGACAGCCAAATTGGTAATTTTATTAATAATTTTAAATATTTATAATGTGTAAGCAACAATTACTTCATTCAAATGTATCAAAAAATAATAATATATGGAAATTGACATATATACATTTTTGTATTTTTAATATAAAATGTATTTTTATATTCTGAAAAATCCATCCGATTAAGAATTCATATAAACAACACATAGATGTATATTTCAAATTAAAAACAAAATATCACTAATTTGTTGCAAATTCTGCAGAAAAACATGAACAAATAGTTTGTATTTTAAATTGTTTTTCTCTAGTATGACAAGTATTAATTTTCAAGAACATTAAAATACATCTACCGTATCTTTTTAGGGCCAAATATAAGATCGGCATCCGGTGCACCTTTAGGATGATTATATTTTTGTCGTCGTTCTCTATTCAAATTTACTGTCACTGGTCTGGTACTCTGATTAATGGTTTCTTGATAATCTTCTTCTTCTTGCCTTTCTGTAATATTCAGTGTCAACCTTTTAACTCGTTCTTTTTCTTCCTTTTGTTCTTGTTCTCTATTTCGAAGATTCATTGCTAATTCCGATGATACAGGAACTGCTAAATTCTTATATTGTTGCTTATTACCTTTTCTTAACATAAGCACAAAATCGACTGTGCTGTTATCAGAAGGTCTTTCTTGCAATTGTTCATATGTTTTTTTAGTACTTTTTACATGCAAAGGAACAGAAATGTCTACTTGTTGCGGTTTCACTGAATCTCGCATTCTATCTTGTATATTATCCGAAACCATTTTATCAAGAGCAGACAGAAAGTCATCATCTTCAGGGCAACTTACTCTTCTAGGGCCAGATGGTAATGCTGCATTTAATTCTGGAACATCCATAATAACACCATCAGTACCTCCTTCTGAAAGACTTTGATCTCCTTGGGTGTTTTCTTGGGTACCCATAGTGTAGTCTCTTTCTGCATCAGCAGTCCAATCTTCTTCCGATTGTGCTTCAGAACAATCTTCAGATTCTTCAAAATGTAGCTCAGCTACACCTTTTGCATCACCACTACCATTCCCAGATGTTACAGTTACATCTTCGTCTCCTTCAGCAATTACTCCCATATCAGACTCTACATCAGTACGTTCAATACCATCCTCTGCATTAAAGTTTCCAAGAGTGGGATATAGCGTATTTCGCAATTCTTCCACAGCACACTGTGCTTCTTTATAACTTTGAAACAATTGCATTTTTGGTCTTAACATTGTCAATGTGTCCCGATACATGTAATCTATGCCCACTGGGAATGGATTTTCTGCAGTCCAGATAGGATCCGTGTACTTGAACCAATAATAATTTTGGAAAAATATTAGGAAATAATCAAGTTTTTTCTTACTGGAACCACCACTAAAATACTGTCCACAGGTTTCCAATAATGTACAGACTAATCGAATTCTAAAAAGATGGTCAGGTGGATCTAAAATACTTGGTATAGAGTGATCCATACTAACTCCAAATGTAATCAAAAGATACAATGTTCGGAAAATATCTCCACTTTCTACCATGCGATAATTATACAACTCTCCAAGATATTTAACCATAGCAATACGTCGTTGATTAAATTTCGGTAAATTAATTTCCATGCATAATCGTATATCTTCCAACACACCATCGACTACATGAGGCCCTATTGTTTCGTAATGTGCAACAAGTCCAGCTAATAAACTTCCTACACATCGAATGTTCAAGTATTTAACATTATATGCGGCAGTAAGACATTTAATAGCATAAGATGATATACTTTCGTCTTCCCAATCTAATTTGCGCATCCATTTGAGAACTTTGTCCGTATTTGTTTTTGAAAGATCTTGATATAACAATTTCCTTATGAATTCGTGAATAGGTGGCCTGTCTTTTTTTGATACACCCCCTGTTAATTCTGGTGGATTTACATAATAATATGCATTCTCAATTATTGTTACATAACGCGAATCTAATGCAGTGACCGCCTTTTTACGCATCATTTGTTCTAAATATACTTTTGTCCTTTGATGAGAATCTGGTGAACAAAATAGATATCTTCCACATGTTTCCAACAAATTACAAGCCATTTCAATATGGTGATGTGTAAAATCATGTAGCAAAACTTTTAAGCAATATAATGCTTCTATCTTTGAATAAAGTTTAAATTTAACAAGTTCACCAATATATCTAACAACTTTTACTTTTGATTCTATATTAATTTGATCCTTTTTGCGTACGTGATATTTGAAATCATGTTTTAACATTGAGCATAAATCATTACCTACGTCAGGCATAACGGGATAAAGAATAGCTGCTAATCGAGAATAAAATGGCAGTAAATCTAAACGAATTCTAGAAACACCAAACAGTGCTTTTACTAATTTTTTTTTGTTATGCTTTGTGTTGAGATTCATTAAGAAGTGTACTGCCGCATTATCAATTAATTCACGATTTACGCAGTTTGGTAAATGTGTTATAAATGCATCTAAAAGTATTTTATTACTTATGTTTGAAACTTGTGGTTCCTCTACTTCTGCTTCAGGTTCATCCACTTTCTCAGTTTCTTCTAGTTCATCAAATGTTATTTCTTCATCCAAGGCTTCTTCACTTATTGGAACATCTTGTTTAGGTACTTCTTTCAAATATGAACCAGGAAGAAATACTGTTAAGTCTGGCAAAACTTCATAAAATCGCCTAGTTTCTTCGTCTCCCCACATATCTTCTAAAATACTATTTTCTTCTCCTTCACTAATCATTTTCAATGATTCTTCTGCTTCTGCCTTCATTTCACTGTCTATAGGAAGTTCTGGCATAGGTTCATCTAAAGTATCAGAAAAGCTTTGTACATTATTAAGTAAACGATCATAGGACACTTGAAGACTCTCAAGTTTCTCTTTTCTTTCAGAACTTAGTTCGCCTCTAGTTTGTAAAATCTTACGATTTTGTTTCTCAAAAGCTTGAAGATCTTTATGTTCTTTTAATAAATGCTTACACAACGAATTGTAGTAATCTCGTAATAATAATCTAACATTTTGTTGTTTGTCGGGAGAAAGTAATTTGCTTTTGGGTATAGATACATTCAACTTTTCAGATATTTCCCTTACTCTTTTAGATACAAGACCCGCATAATCTTCACCACAGTGTTTACAAAAGCTTAATATGATGCTTGCATTATTATGTTCTTCTTTATCCATATTAATTAAAACTGTCAATGCAGAACCAAGTAAAGGTAATCCTTGCTTATGGGTGAAAATTCCTGCATTAACCAGTTCAGCATAAAATCGAAGATCTACTCGAAGTTTGCTTGGATTTGCAATTTTATCCATAACTTTCAAGGACAAAATTCTTTGCCAATTTTCAAAGAAATGAGATGAAAATTCTGCATATGTTTGATGCAAGAAACTGCATACCTTAATTGCAGGTGCAACATCTGTCATTTTTAATTTAGCATCAACTAAAGCAGTAGCAACTTCACTTACATATTTTGTTAAGTTTAAGTGTGTCATATCTTTTAGAACTGTATCTAATTGCATACTACTAAAATTTTTCAGTTTCTTAACAAACGTTGTATTTCTTTTTAATGTTGAATCTAATTTGCTGAAATATGATTCTGGTGGTCTGTTAGGGTTCAAGTTAGCTGCTCGAATTTCTTCTTTTGCATTTAGTCGTTGTTCTGTTTCTTTTATATATTCAGTCAAGAATTGTTTATCTTCCTCCGACACAGCATCTTGTTGTGGATATGTATCTGCTGTTTCTGATACTGTTTCTTCAACTTCTGACATTGTTCAAATCTGTTACCTAAAATATATGTTGTACATTCTGTAAAATGTCACGTGAAGAAGCAATTTATGAATTACATAAATAATGCAATAACAATTATCATCACTATATATATATATATATATATCTACTTGTTATTATGAACTATGTTAACAATATTAAATTATTAACATAAAATATAATAAAAAAGTAAGTAAATATTCTTCTACGTAACAAAACTATTTAATAAAACGTTATAATTTGTGTTTATAAATTTAAGAACCATTTAAGTTTATAACATTAAATTAAAATAATTTAAAATTAATAAACATATTTTGAAAAAAGCATGATGTTTACGTATACTTTAAGAAAATACGTAACATGATTTTATTTATTTAAATACATTATACCCAATATATGATATGTTTACATTTGCAAGTGAAACAAAATAAAAATTAAATAAATTATGTGAAACAAACTGAAAATAAAACTCACTATACTAATATTATTTTATAAAATTGTTATGTTATAAACTTCTGAAAATTGTTTACTTACACTTTTCAGAAAGAAGAGGATTACTTTATGGCAGACGACACTGTCTCACACATGAAAACCTGCTTAAACATTAAGCAATTTCAATGCACCAAAATATATAAATATGTCCACGCAAATGCATAATATACTAATTACTATGAAAATGATAGATTTAAAAATGATATATTTTAAAAATTAAATTTGAATAATAAATAATGAAATTTATTAAGTTTTCTAGTGAAATTGAAAAATTTTAATATAGATAATAAAATTGAAATTTATTGCAATATTTACATATATATATAAAGTTATTGATATAGTTATATATATATCTATATAAATATAAAATAATACTAAATAAAATAATTACTAAAAAGAAATATATTTCAACTATTATATGTTTTGCCATTGACTACCTAGCATCATTGACTAACTTGCATAGACCGGACATCAAATAGAGTTTCGTATTCCAGGGTTTGAAATACTGACCAGGAAAAAAAATCATTGGTCTTTTAGCGTCCTCTACGCTTAAGCAATGGCGAATTAGAGCACCATGTCAAACAAAATGATACAAATTGATTCAATAAAATGATATCCTTTACAGTGTTGTCAATTGTATACCCATTGACTGATTTTACGTTCGATTTAAAGATAGAAGAAAATAGGAAAAATATAGTTGATTCGGTCCGTTCGACTTCAGTGTCAGTTAAAAAAAATAAATAGTTCACGTGTACATTACATTCACTTTACGTTCAATTTCAATAGAGAATAACGAAGGAGATATGTATTTCATTATATCGAAGTAAGAGTTTAGTTTAAGAGAAAGGAAGGTTTAGTTTAGGTGTATAAAAGTATATTGAAGTTACGGTTTATTTTAAGAAGAAAAGTATTAGTTTAGGTGTATTTTAGTTTGAGAAAAAGGAAAGAATTAGTTTAGATGTGTTTCAGTTTATATTAAAGGAAAGAGATAGTGGAACAAATTGTTCCTTTTTGGTTTTTTTTACCATTTTTTTTTTCGTACAAGTGCAGAACGCTTTGACATGAACACGGTGATATGAAATCATATAATTTATCGTATTTTCTATTTCTTTGTATTTCTTTGTGTTTCTTTGTGTTTCTTTGTGCCTCTTTATGTCTCTTTGTGCCTTACTGGGAGCAAAATCTGCTCCTAGTTAATTCCTAATTTATTCTTGTCCTTCTTTAAATGTTTGTCTGATTACAGGGGCACTTAATTTCAACGTATTTAACCTCAAATCATGGATTTTCTTTTCAGAATATTTCTTCCAAAGCCTCATATACTCAAGCTGCTCAGCAATCACAATTGTATATATAAGCAATGATATTAGATCTAAGGTACTTTGATTCATACATTGTTGAAAAACTTATTAGCCTGTAAAATATCAAATTTATCTACAATTTTTCAAGACCAATTATGCTTATATTGGAATAGTAAGCATAAGGATAACTTACAATCAAATTAAATTTATCCAAACGATTAATAATATCCAATATGTGCCCTATAATTCCACATTCGTAAAGAGCTTGTTAGATAAAACATTAGACTTATTTCTCAGATCACCTTCATTAGAGCAGATTTAAATGATCCAGGATACGCACACATTCAAAGACATTTCAAACGTAGCTAAATCCATCCAAATAAATCAAGATAATACATGTTATTAGATATATCTATTAGGAGAAAAGTAGCCTGCTTCTTATGCAAGGAAGAATGTCATGTGGCTAAATTTTGCAAAAACTTTGATCTCCAGCCACAGCATAACACTAACTGATATCACAATGAAAGTCTTAATGACCCAGTCATCCAAGAACAGCCAAAATTTTTTCCTACCTTCCATTTCAGATTTTTGCTACATTGTTACTTGAGATACATAAACTGCAAGCTGAAAACATCACAAATCATCCTTTTACCAGCTCTAAGATGTATCAAGGGATGTATCACGGCTTACTAACTTTAGCTCTTCCAACAACTTTTAATGATTTGAATTCTGTCAAAGATGATAATAGAAGTAAAGTAGTTGTTTCTACCAAAGAAATCAAGAAACGCAAAATAGCAAACAGAACAGAGACTAGAAGAAATCTTCTTGTTGTCAACAATTACATCTCGGATCCTACTCAAGATCGCCCAGTGAATTTTTAAAGTTGTCTATAGTTTCTACTAGAAACGTGTGACAATCCCAAAATCCTGGAAGCAGCGTTAAACAAGGGACATACCAGCTCTAATAAAGATTCTTTCCTTTTCTTTATAGAACTTAAGATAAAAAGCTGCATCATAAGAATTGTCAAACGCCTCAACAGTTCTTATCCGATGCTGTGAGTAAAGATTATTCTAGAAGAAAACTCCAATTAGATTAAAATTATTCATAGCTACAATTACTACATTGTTACGGGTTTTCTTCTGGAACTCGAGAAATCTTTGCTCTAAGCGTCCGGAAATTCAGTCCATCTTAGTCAATTATAACTCCTCATCTTCGTCTTTGAAATGGCTGACCCAACGACAACTTTAGCTTCCTAGGATTCATAGAGTTCAGGAAGGATAGAACTCATTCAAAAGATGGCGGAATTCTAATTCTTATCCGTAAAAACGTTGTTTTCAGGCAAATTACTAACATCAAATCTTCTGATATCTGAGTTAAACTATGCGGTCTTTAAGTAATAGTTTAAGTAATGTAAAGCTAGAATTGGATACATTTGTCTGTATAAAACTCTAAGTCTCACTCTCACACACGATCAGTGGGATTTAATTGTTCAAAACATTGACACTAAACGCAACTGCATTGTAGTAGGTGACTTTAATGCTCACTATTCTAATTGGAATTGTAAATATACAGATAGTAATGGTAGAAGATTTCATAATGCCTTAGGAACCGCTGATCTACTACACAATGACAACTCTTATACATATATTAACGTATACAAAAGTTTTAAATCCAATATTGATAGAGAATTTTATTCTCTACTTTGAATATTTGTGATAAAACTGATACTGTTGTGTATGATGAGACCTGCAGTTCTGATTACTTTCCTATTTGTTTTAATATTAAGGATAAGAACTATTTGGTCAAAATTTTTCCATACTCTAAAGAACCATTACATAGATTTTTTTATTAATGATTACGATGCTCTGCCTCCCAGTCGCGAATACGAATTTTTCATTAATATTATCATCAGTGCAGTTAAATCCAATTCACCTTTAAAAGAAATTTAGTAACTTTTCCGGAAAAAATAAAAAAAATCCAGTACTTTGGTGGGACTCGGAATCTAATAAGCTCAAAAAACTTTGCAGAACCTCTTTCAGAAAATGACAGCGTTCGTACAACTTGGAGGATTTGATTAATATAAAAAAAATTTGGTTTATCTATAATATCTCTTACTATAAAAAAAGGAAAAAGAAAAAAAGTCCAGATATCTGACGAGTAGACTTAACATGGAATATCGTTTCATGTTTATGGGGTTCTAGGATTCCATTATTATTTTCACGCCACATCTTGTCCTATCGATTTATATTGCAAGTTTGCACGTTTTGCAAGTTTTCTCAAAACTATCAAAATCAAAAAATATAGACAGTGTTGCCACATCTGCTCCGAGAATAATTAATTAGATTAAATATACTGTTACTTTATCAGTAAAAGTATATATAAATGTAATAAGAATATGAAATATAACATAAGAATATAAAAAAAAATATAACGATTCGGAACAAGGATTGATGGAAATTGGGACGAAAAATTTATTATATATTTAATTATTTACATTTGTTTACAAGTATTAGAAAAAACTGATTGAAATTTATTTTTATTTTATCTTATATAAAAGACTGGACGTATCAAATAAATATTTTTATAAATATTACTTTTTATCTAGAGTTAGTTTCGTGTGAAAGGCGCGCGTATTGGGTTTAAATTAGTTAAAGATTACAGCGCCACTATACGGCGAAATACGCAATACGCTTCTACAATTCTCGAACGTAATCGATATTTCTTATGATCGATTTTTAAACAGAAATAATGGCGGCAAGAAGCACAGCTCGTCCATAAAAAAGGAAGTATTATCTAGAAAACTCATTCAGATAGAAGTGTCATCCAGAAGTTTTTAGGTAAAAATTTAAATCAGTAGCTATTATATTTTTAATAATAGCATATAAAAT